GACGAAAAGGACCTGGGGGTGTTGGTCGACAGCCGGCTGAATGTGAACCAGCAGTGTGCCCAGGTGGCCAAGGCGGCCAACAGCATCCTGGCTTGTATCAGGAACAGTGTGGCCAGCAGGAGCAGGGAGGTGATTGTCCCCCTGTACTCGGCACTGGTGAGGCCACACCTGGAATACTGTGTCCAGTTTTGGGCGCCTCAGTACAAGAAAGACATTGAGGTGCTGGAGCGTGTTCAGAGAAGGGCAACAAAGCTGGTGAAGGGTCTGGAGCACAGGGCTGATGAGGAGCGGCTGAGGGAACTGGGGTTGTTTAGCCTGGAGAAGAGGAGGCTGAGGGGAGACCTTATTGCTCTCTACAACTGCCTGAAAGGAGGTTGTAGTGAGGTGGGTGTTGGTCTCTTCTCCCATGTAGTTAGTGATAGGACAAGAGGAAATGGCCTCAAGCTGCGCCAGGGGAGGTTTAGATTGGATATTAGGAAAAATTTCTTCACGGAAAGGGTAGTCAAGCATTGGAACAGGCTGCCCAGAGAGGTGGTGGAGTCACCATCCCTGGAAGTGTTCAAAAAACGGGTAGATGTGGCACTTTGGGACATGGTTTAGTCTAGTCTACCCTTGATTGGTTTAATGTGGACTTGGTAATGTTAGGTTAATGGTTGGACTGGATGATCTTAAAGGTCTTTTCCAGCCTAAACAATTCTAAGATGGATAAAGAAAGAAAATGGTGTTTACCACCTTCCTCCTTTTCCAAAGTTTCAGCTTCTGTAGTTTGGAAAACCTTAAGCCTTCAAATTTGAACATAAGCATTTAACTTCTATTTCAACTCTGCAAGAGAGACTTTGATCCTGAGAAGTTAAGAAAATAATAAGGCAACTAAATTGTAAAACAGGAAAACAGGTGGGATTTGTAAATATATATACAGTTGCATTTTTTACTAGAAGTCTTTACTGAGACAATAGAGAAAAAATATTTTTAAATTTGCTTCTTTAAAGAAAGGATTTCCTTTGCCACTGTTAAAATGAAATGAGCTGCGCATTTGAATTTTTTTCTGCCTTTAGCACCAGGATATCATTGCTTCAAGAAAACGGGTGAGCCATCTTACTCCTGCAACCCCTCAGTAAGGAATGATCCTTACTTTCATTTATATCCGAGAGTGCTGCACCACCCCAAACAGTATTAAGGAATACAGTACCTGATGAAAGACTGTAAAGGCCCTTAAAACGTCCTTTTTATAAACAGCATTCTTACGCCTTGTTTCTGCATTTCCTCCCCTGCTAACTTATCTGAACATTTGCATCTTCAGACATCTACTGTCCAGGTCTGAATTCTTTACAGACAAGCTTTGTTTACAAACAACTGAAGGCCCTTTAGGAGAGCAGGTACACTCTCTTGGTAACCTGTGTAAAAAGTGTCAGCGAACTACCACGTTTGCTATTGCTGATGTCTGGAGAGTAGTTTTTTAAGTTGTTATTTTTAGTATGTTCGTGCATCACATTCATTAACATTTAGTGACTGTGATGCTGTAACTATCCCCTGAAACAAAGGCTGACTATGATTCAGTTTTCACAAGCCTTTTAGGACAAAGTTTGTGAGTCAGTGTCTTGTCCCTGACTGCTTTCTCTCCCTTCTCACAGCTGGCTGTGATCATAATGAGACTTTCACACTTGGCTAAAACAGGATTTTTCAGATTTTTTTCCACCAGGAACAGATGGTACTTATTGATTTCTTTGCTGCCCCTCTGGAGAAAGACAGTTTGAGACTTTGAGTGAAGTCACATTTGCAGCTTTGGACTGGCTCTTTGAGGTACTTGCCCTTTTCATTTGGAGAAGATCACTCCCACTGCCAAGTTTTGCACTCTGGCTGCACCTGTGGGACAAGCTGATGCAGACTCTGAGGACTGCTAAAAATACACAGCCAGTTTTGATCTCTGAGCATACAGAAACTGTCAATTCTATCCCAATATGTGTGTAATCCTCTAACAGGCTTTCTTTGAGCCATATTTCTTAATGTTTGCCAAGATGGAGCTTCACTCAGAGACATGCAAATTTTTTTTTAGAAAACTATTACAGTATTGGGTGACAGTAATTAACCACTGGAACTTAACACACTTTTGACTTCCATGAAAAATTTGGATTTCTTCAATACAAAAATAAAAACTACTGCTGTCAGGAAAGAGTTACCACAGCTGCATCTGTTTAGGCACCACAACTAGCTGATGGCCACTGAACATATGGGAAATTTTTCTACAAACATCTGGGGGCTGCCAGAAAAGCTCTAACACAATAGCATTATACAGATGGATGAACAGCAATATTTTTCTTTACCTCAGTAAATACTTGTCCTTATTGTCTTCATACTAATGTCTGATTTTCCTAACAGAAGTCTGTCTTTCATTTATTGCTGCCTATTTGTACCTCTTTCTATCAATCATGCAAACTCTTTTAAGATTCCTCTAAACTATTGTACAAGCATGCTGTGTTTAAAAAACTAGGGTAGTGCACGTGCACATGCACATATACAGTCATAGTGACAGCGCTCTGTGTGTAAATCACTTTAAAGCAGAAACTAATAAACTCACTTTTATTAAATCAGTTTATCACAATTTTGTTAAGTTACAAAAATAACTTCATCCATAATTACGTTAAATATTAAATACAAAGGTAAAACAGTTGTGCAGTGCTCTTGAATAAAATTGAATAATTGAATAAAATTGAATAAACCTCTTTATGTATTTGAGAGGGTCAAAGTAACTGACTCAGAAGTTCTTGTTTAAGACTGTTGGTCTGCATTTACCAACTATATTTAGTTCTTGTTGACTTAAAAGACATATGGAAAGCAAACTACATGTTAAGGAATCGAATTTCCTCTAGGCAAGATTGAAAGCAGTGAGAGTTTCTGTTCTGTTTAAGAAGAAAACGAATGCAAGCCCCAATGCATTTTAAGTAGAACAATGATTATTTTAAAAAATGAAACTAAACACCAGCAACTGTTTGGACACGCACAGCAGCTGAGAAATTTTGTTCACTTGTCTTCCACATCTGCTACCATAGCCTCAATTGCATTCCAGTCCAGTTTGCTGAGGATACTTCCTGTGCTTTCAGAAACACCATCAGTATCGGTAACACCGAGAGGAGAAAAACTCACAGGATGTAGTGCAGAGGCCTATTGGAGGAAAAGAAGATGAGCTGAATCACTGCATATCATTCATGGACAAGATCTCTGTGCAGCCAGCAGAAGTGATCCCACTCTTTTCAAACATGCCCTAATCAAGTTATGTTATCTGATTATTCTGCAACAAATGCAATTTATTTTGCTATTTATGTGCTCCCACTAAGCGTCTGTTGCTTGGACAGACAACACGCCTATACAGTTGTTGTAAAGAACATACATTTTCAAGGCTCCCAAGAATTACTTTGCTTGTAAAGACAAAATGTAGTTATGTTGAATTACCATCATTTATGTCCTTCTGCATCTATCCCACCCACATTTTGAATAGAGAACCACATTTTAAAGCAGTAGTAAAAGTGTTAAATGACAGGTATCCAATCATTCCTAGAATAAGCAGACATCCTACCTGAAACAAGGAGTCGTGAGTATCTTGAAGTATTCTTTGGATATCATCAGGCACAGTCCAAGGACTTACTATGTCTCGATCAGTCTCTTGATCAACACCTTCTGTCTGAACTGCAGTGGAAACATGTGGAGGCTTTTGTTTTGATGTTCTGCTGGCTCTGTACTCAGCAGCTGAGGAGAAACAAGCCAACCATAGCACTGTGACATTTCTTGCTGTTTAATTCTGAATGTCTTGAAACTTCTCCAAGAACAGAAGCTCAACTTTTAAGAATTGAAGCTGTGTGTAAACACGTGTAAAAACAGCACGCCCTGTTATCTTGAACTGATGTGGGGTTATGGCAAGAAAATTCTGCTGGTCCCTTCCAGCCTCATGCTCTGAACTGTCTTCCCAGGGCAGAACATGAAGTGGAAGAGGACTATGCATGGTGCCTACAGCATCCAGGTCCTGTAGTGCAGTCCCCAAAACGGGATGTTGCTCCATCATTTAATAGAGGAATAAAACTATGTAAGTCCTGGATTTGTGCCTCTTAGAAGACATGGCATTTTAGTGAAACCCTTAGCAGTGATGGAATATAGTGGAGAAACAGATACAAGAAGGTGATGTGAAATCAGAGAAAGATCAACCTTTATTTAGAGTTTAAAAAGAGAACGTATGGAAAGGAGGAGGAGAATGACTTTCCAAATGTGTAGAGGGGAGTGAGCATTTCAGGAAAAAAGCCTGTCTGCTTACTATTGCTTCTCTCCCTTTTGGGCATTGCCAACTCAAATAAACTGACATTTGACTAGACAAATAGGACCTTTTATGCCACTAGTATAATCCTAGTGTAAGGGAGAATGGAATCAACCCACAGTATCTAAGTTTCAGACTGATTCTCTCCTCAATGTTTTTCTATCTGATCAGAAATTCTGCTCTTGTAATCAAGTCCTCCATCTGTTAAAGAATTTGATTAGGAGGAAACCTTTATGTGAGGAAACTTTTGTGGATCCGGAGTTAAACAAACAGGCATAGGGAAAAAGGATCACTAAAATCTAAAAATGTTTTTTAAAAGAAGTTCAGTCATAAATTTTTCCACTCTATCATTATGACAAAATAGTATCTTAAATAGATCCTGTACAGAGGGATAACAAAGACAATTCCTACTTCAAAGAGCTCAGAGAGTAAGCAGCATAGAAAGGCAAGGGAGAGGACAATACTTGTGTACTGTACTGCTAACTAACTCTCTGTGGGTTTCAGCTGAAAGAAAGACTTAAATCCTCTGTACCTCATGACTCTGTAATGCCTGTTTCAGGGAATCAGTGACATCTAGCACATTTGCTTCAGTAATCTTGGAACTGCCATCCAGCTGAAACCATTCAGGAGTTAAACAGGTGATTGATTAAAATACATCACAAGTTTCTAATGAAAAGGATAGTTATGTTGGGGAAAATGATAATTTTTATTCTTCTAGAGTAATGCTGTATCTGAGGGAGGCCTGTGTTGCACAAATTCTACCCAGGATGTATTCTGAAATGTATTCTCTGTGTCTTACTCTTCTTGTGTATTATGTAGCTGAACAGCACACTGTGTCATTGCTCTTTGTAACTTACAGTGTCTAGAATTAACAGGACAGTTTGCAGCATTTCTTACTCTTCCTCTAGAAGTACTTTTCTGTAGGGGCATAGAGGCATTTCCTGGAAAGACAAAGCAAGCATTTCCTCTGTTAGGTGCAATAGATCTAAACTACTCAAAAGATGCTTCAAATTTTTCATCTATGAGCTTGCTTCCTGGATTACACAGTACTCTTGCTATGGCAAATTAACCTACTTTGGATTTAGAAAGAAATAGTAAGGAAAGGTAACTCTCATCATTTAACAGGCCAATGACAGCACAGTTGCAAAAGCCTCAGGACAGAAAATCTCCAGATTTATAAGTCTGACTTTCTACATAGGTATTAAAGCTCCTCCCTCCAAAAATCTGGTAATAACTTGAAAATCATCTTCAGTATGTGCCTTCATTAATAAAGTTCTTACCCCTGGACTGTGTTAAACCAAGACTTGGGGTGAAACGGTGTACTTTTTGACCAAAGCTGGGTTTGGCAGCAATTCTGCTCCTTTCTGACAGGACAGGACTGTTCAGATGCCTTCTACAACAAGAAAACAAACAAACGAACAAACAAATAAGAACAAAGCCCAAATACTTACCACTGTCTACCACATACGATTCCTCCACACAATTTAGATCTAACATGGCTTATTCAGACAAGGCAAAAAGGCCACAGAAACCACCTTCAGCCCACTTAGCTTAGAATCAGTATCATACGCTGCTTGTGGGGCCAATAAGCCTCACCAGAATCAGAAGTGTTGGCAATCACACTGAAGACATATCAAATTGGCTTTACAAAGAGCCAGTTCAGGTCCAACAAAACTTACTATTTAGAATTTACTGCCACTCCTAAGGCGGCTTCCTGCATGACATTCCTTAGTGATTCCAATTCTGGCAGGGCTGATGTACTTAAACTGCCCTTAGGCACCACCACAGCGGGCTCTGTACTACACTGACTATATTCAGTTTAACACTATACTGGAACTTCACCTATTAAAAAAAGATGCAGAAATATGGAAGTTACAGGATTATCTGAAGTATACAGGTTCCTCCTATTATTCTGGAAAACATAAAATTGTATGCAGAAGAAGGAAAAGTATACTGTGGTATGCACCTGGATTACATATACACCCATGTGACATTAATGCCATCAAGTAGAATAAATTTACCAATTTATAATACTCAAATACCATAATTTCCTCAAAAGGCAGTAAGAACCTAAGTGCAAAAGAAAGAACAAGCAAAGTCCTCAGTAATGAAAAAAATGAGAAAGGAAGAGAGTAAATCTCGTTTACTGGACTCTAATTTAGGTAGTCTATATGCATGCACACTAGTATTTTTATTTGCTGCTTGCTTGTTACTAGATGCTCTTCAGATCATTAACTAGCTATAGTCCAGTGGAACTGCTGTTGAGTGCAATGGGTTAGGACATTGATTACAGCTCTGACTCTACAGCTGGCTTATTTTGTGCTCTGAAAGGCATTTTTAAGACTCAAGATTTGCACTAGTGGTTGTAAGAAGACTGGTACAGAAACGTAAGACTCCTCTGATCTAGACAAAGTGTATCTTTGATTCTGCCAGAATATGCCAGAATATAAAGCTTCTCTCAAGCTAATCCTATACCAACTAGCTATAAATTGCAGACAGATTTGAAGTGTGGTAAAGACACCAATACCTCAGAGTAGGGTTAATGTTTAAAGTAGTTACCCTTTAGTAGATGCCACATGCCTTTTTCTGTACTCTTGAGGTGATCTTGTCCTTGACAATGGTCTATGTTCATTTGCAGGTAACACCACCGTTTCAGATAACATTTCATTCATCAGAGAAAGTGCTTGTGATATTCTCATACTGTGATGTTCAGATAACAGGGCTCTATGGAGAAATAATACTGCATATTAATTCACGCTATCACTCATTTAATTGCAGCTGGCTTGTGAGTCTTGTAAGGCTACACGGTAACCAGAATAGAAGAATGTATTTTTGCAATTTCAGAGAAGATATACTAATCCTTTTAAGTTCATTAGCAAAAAGCTATAACATTTATTAACAAGGTGTTTGACAGAATGAATGAGTCAATGTTGGGGGGGGCGGGAGGGAAGAAAAGATGATATTTGGAAAGTGAAAAATACAGTCAAAGGACAAAACATGTTCAGAGTTTTCCTAAACAGTAAAGCAAACATGAATTATTTATGCTTTTGGTTGAAAAGCCATTCATATCTTAGGTTTCATAGACAAGATAGTTAAAACTACCTCCTCCTTAAGACTGGAAGATTAATATAAAAATAAGAATACTACAAGTTACATTCATAACAACTTACTTGTCTTTTTCTTCTTTCTTCTTCTGGAAGGATTTAATATCCTTTGAAGTAGGACTACAATGCTGTGCAAGAAAGTATAATAATCGTTAACTTATTCTGTATTGTGGTCTCATTCCAATCGCTTACTCTCAAAATATAGATCTATTTGACTTAAAAGTTACTGTTTAAGACACTCTCCAGAATGAAAGACAATATGAAAGCATATGGCCCTACCAGGAAATTCAGATAAGATTGTCTCTATAAACTTCCAGTCTCTAAAAATACACTGAAAGCTTGCAGTCACACCTTGCATAGCTCATATGCTTAAAACACTAACTTTCCTAAGGAGATGTCTTCACTGTCAAGCTCAAAGTTTCAAATGGCCTCACCTTTGGTTTCGTAAGAATCAGTGATGTTCCTAACAATAACTAATTTAAAAAACAGGGTTGCACTTTGACTTGTGTTTGCTAGACTACAATTTGAATTTTTTAATGCCATCTGCTAAAAAAAAAAAAACAAAACCAAAACCAAAACAACACACCCAAAACCAAAACAACAACAACAAAAAAACCCCACCAAAAGCTGAGAATCCCTCCATCTAATGATTTCAGGAGAAAAGCCTGTAACAAAAGCAGCAAGGGTATATTTATGGGTTGGCAACACAGGAGAGGAAGAGAAGCAGGACCCATTTTTCCTGAATTACTTTTCTCTACACATGTACAAAAGAGCAGACAGGTTCAACTCTGAAAGACTGTTTAAAACCAGGAGAAATATGGTATTTCATGGATGAGATCTGTTACTCTTTCTAAAAGTGAATACATTTGAATTATTTAGTAACAGGAAACTTTTGTGTGTTACATGTTTGCTGCTTGGGAGTTAAAAGCAGTAGAGCTTCGTTTCGGCATGAGAGAATTTATAGCATACCCTGCATTCAATTGATGAGTAAAAAGTACAGATATATATATTTGCTGTTGCTAGGTCTCATCTCCTGTAACCCTGGAGCTTCCCCTGACTCAGCAGTGTCTCTTCAGGTCCCAAAAGTATCCAGGTGACAAACGCGTATTTTAACTCAATACTGATTGGGGAAATTATTTCTGAACTACTTTTGTAAAATTTTTTTCCTTCAAGGTACTTCCAGCACACTGCAGATCAGAAGAGATGTATCAGGCCATAAACATGGTTTTACTAATTAAAACTAAAAAAATCTGGGAAGGAAGGGATTGTTTGCTGAGCCTGTATTGAAACCAACCTTCAACAAAAAAATTCATCAGATACTTAAAGTATATGCCAAATTCTAACACCTCTGCTGACCCTCTGTAATTGCATACACTTCTGTGTGTGTGAATGACAAGGATGGCTGCCCTCAGTATCCTATCATGTTCATAAAGGATGTTGGCATCTGAACTCTTTTTAAATTAATTTGGGGTTTTTGGGAGATGCAGGGGAACATGAAACAAGATGTAAACACATCTTTACAACTTCTGTAGTTACCACTCCCTGACAAAATACAGCTTTTATCAGTGTATGTTACAGCTATAGTCATGACAGTCAGGGAACTATAATTCCTGAATCTAGAGCTGGGGGACAGGTCGTAATTGCCACCTGCAGCCAACTGTCATTACTGCAGCCTATGAAGAACACTGGTATATTTGCTTACTGATGACTTCTGACACAACTGTGGCCAGTTCCAATAAAATAAAATTACACATATAAAAAACCAACATTAAAATAGGAAAAAAACCCACCGACAGCCTTTATATTATCTAACCTGAACAATTAACACTTATACAATACGTTAACAGTTACTTGTCAAGATATTCGTTATTATTACCACATTCTTTCTTAGACTGAATGGATTATGCTCTTTCTGTCTTTGTTCATCCAGTTTCTTCACATATTCTCTCATTCGTTCCTTCTGCTTTCTTTTCATCCATGCTTGTATCTCTCTCTTCTCCTTTTCTGTTTTTTGAGAATGTCCAGCAGCAGAATCATGAACCCTGAGAGTAGATGTAAATGGGAAATAATCTAGCACATCCTTTAAATTCCAAACAAGCAGCTACACATGGTATAATAAAGATACTGCATTCCTTTTCAAATTCTGACTCAGCTAAAAGTATAAGTAACTAACTAACAATGTGGAAATCTTCTTCTGCAAAATTTTACTTCATAAAATCCTGGCACACAAGTAATTTCCAAGATGTTTCCTAGCATTCTTCTACTTGTCAACTACATTCAGATAATAGGACCAAAGCTTTAAATGTGGACCATCTGTTACTGTGTTTATAGGATAACTGGCACACAAAAAAATGGAGTTTTGCTTTGATCTTTCATTTTTAAGTGTGTATGGCATAAGTATCTAAAAAAAAAAAAAAAAACAAAAACACCAATGAGATTCTTTCTGTTCCCTCCCCTCAATCTATGACCTCCTTCACAAGTCTATCTGTACAAAGTAATTTTAAAAATACTAACTCAGGATACTAACAATAGAAAAACAGCCAGTAAGAAATACTAACATAACCTCATCCTCAGACTTCTTCAGAAATATTTACTAATTCACCTTGCACTAATCTTTAAAGTAAGCAGCTGGGTAATAAATACTTTCTTCACGGTAAAACTAAAAGGACTGACCTAAAAATTAAATATGAAAAATTAAATATTTCAATTTTAAATGCCTCAATTTTTGCAGCCCATTTTGAAACTTTTCTCATTTTCAAGACTGGCAGGCACTAATAACTCCAGAATCAACAGAAGATATGAGTGTAGCAAAATAAGGTATCTCTAATAGCTGTAGTACAACTGAAAGCTTATGGACTGAAGCATTAAAGCACTCAAGGGATTAGAAGAACTTTGAAACATATCAAAGTGATTTACTTTACAGCAAAGGGAGTAGTAACAGATGTAGTCACAGTCATATGTGAAAACAGGTACATGAAACTGAGTTGCATTTAGGTCTTTGGCCAGGTTTGATTAAATACTACTTGAATACATTTCTGAAATTTTCAGTAATTTTTGAAATATTCACATAATTGCACAGAACAGCCCAGCTAGTAACATTTATATGTTGATGTAGTGATTATTAATGTGTTTGGAATTCTCAAAGGATTGCAAGGATGTTGTGACCTGTGCACAGATTTATATTTGAAGCTCTTGAGCTCCTTTTACAATTCCAATAAATGTCAGAACAAGTAAACCAGAGCACTAAACTCTACTTAAATGAGTCACTAGAACATCCTGAAAAAGGTATCTTAAACTGGTGTGAACCATTGCACCAATGCAACAGATTGTTTGGCATCCTGAACAACTGTATTTTTGCCTTGTAAGCAACTGATATCACAGAGGAAACAGCTGTAATTTCAACCTATCTTGAGAAAGAACACAGTTGATTTTGTAACTGACAGGAAGGCGTAGACATCTCCAGCAGGGAGGAGAGCACGACAAGTTGGAGTGTGGGGCTGGAAGCTTCTGAAGCTGCTCTGCCACTGACAGGAAATTTCTATTGTGTCTTTCAGAACTGCTTTAGAAGGCTCCAGTCCCCTTGGTTGAACCGAATCTGCTGTACATACAGAATTGTGTTCCAGCATATACCTGGTAGAAGGAACAAGCAAGTAGGAAGGAAAGAATTTTAAAACCAAAATAATAAAAAACAATTAGCACATTTGACAATAATGGCCAGTAAAATAGTGGCTATTGAACAGTTCCAATACTAGTCCCATTAACATCAACTCAAATCACATGCTTGTTTCCATTGTTTACAGGGTGTGAGCTGTAAGAAGAACAGCCAGGGTTAAAATTATTTAACTAACACATAATAAAAAATAGCCATGGTATTACCTAGAGATTTTCTTAGCTTGTATTTTTGTAAAGCCCAGCTCCAACGGCGAGATGTCACCTTTTACTACAAGATCACGAATGATGTCAGTAACACCACTTAGACCAGTAATTTGCAGGGGATCTTCTAAAGAGCTTAAAGTTAGGCAGGGAAAAAAAAGTGTTACTAATTTAAAGTAGAACATGCCTGCAAGAACAACAAGCTAAAATCCTTCCTTTTGTGCTTAAAACAAGAGTATTCAGGTTCTTTTACCAGAAGCCTTTGCAATGAATTTTCTTTCCCCTACATCTCATTGTGTTAGTGCACACAAGCAGTACTAGGTAATGTGTGTAGTTGCACTGTCTTTAAAAAGTTACCAGCCATCATCTTAGCTTCACTGCCATCATGTACGCTTTAGCCAACTTCGTAGCTCCCCAGTGTGAATGGGAGAGAACGAGCCAGACCGGACTAACATGAGGGGTATTGCAGCAAAGAGGGCTTTGAAAAAACCATCCAGAAATACGGCCCCGCCCAGAGCTGGACTGCTGGAGCTCCAGTGGGGTATGTGAACACGGCTGGCCCACGGGAGGCTTAGCCTGAGAGCCCAGAAGCACCCACAGGCTTTGTACTGGTGCCCATGCTGAGATAAGGCTGTGGGATGCTACCAGTTTCAGGAACCCCAACTCTCAACGACCTTCTGAGCAAGAACCAGTGGGAGTGAGAGAATAGTTTTACCTAAATTCTGCCTATTTCTTTTCTCTCTTTTAATCAGCGGCTCTCAATAAAAATCAAGTCTCATGTACTTTATGATTACAAGCTACAGTTGCTTCAAGTTACTCCTTTGGGTAAAAATCACTATCTGCTTGCCCTGGTTTCAGCTTGCATAGAGTTATTCTTGATCCTAGTAGCTAACATAGTGCTATGTTTTGGATTTAGTATGAGAAGAATGCTGATAATACACTGATGTTTTAGCTGTTGCTGAGCAGTGTTTATACTAAGTCAAGGACTTTTTCAGCTTCCCATGCTCTGCCAGGTGCCCAAGAAGCTGGGAGAGGGCACAGCTAGGAAAGTTGATCCAAACTGACCAAAAGGGTATTCCATACCATATGATGTCATGCTCAGTACATAAACTGGGGGGAGTTGGCTGGGGGGCACCAATCACTGCTTGGGGACTGGCTGGGCATCGGTCAGTGGGTGGTGAGCAGTTGTATCACTTTTTTTTCCTGGGTTTTGTTCCCCTTCTTGTTGTTTTCCTTTTCACCATTTAAATTATTATTATTGTTGTTGTTATTATTATTAATTATTTTATTTCAGTTATGAAACTGTTCTTATCTCAACACATGAGTTTTCTTACTTTTACCCTTCCAATTCTCTCCCCTGTTCCACTGTGGGGGAGGGACCGAGCGGCTGCATAGTGCTTAGGTGCCAGATGGGGTTAAACCATGGCACTGCTAACATTATTGCCTCACACCCATCCTCAAGGTTATGTAATCACTCGTTAATATACTTCAGTCACAACAAGCAGTTTCACTTAAAATACAGTAAAAATAAACTAAACCATTCAGTTTACTGCTATGCTTCAAGCAAAACAATAAACATGGGTAACTGCACAGAATGACCAGGAAGAAAGAGAAGCCAGCTACTGTTTTGTACTGCACAACTGGATCCAGAAGACCAACAGCAGTTAGCAGTAAAAAATATGTATGTCAGACCATTTTATATAATGCGTAAGATCATTCCAGTTTTGAAATCTTCAGTCTGTTGATTTACACTGTTCATATGGTAACACTTCAAAAACTTTCTGGTGATAGCTGGCCTCAGTAGACGACTACTAGCAGCAGTTACATGTACTTGTTTCAAAAACAGTGTTTTGCAAATAGGAGAAATAACAAATACACATAGACAATAGCAGCATCTACATTAACAGCTCTGTTACTTGTACTAGAAAGCAACTCTGAATGCTTCTACAGCTTTTGCATAAAGTAAATCTAACAGGCACTACTGAACTTACAGCAGATACCTGAAATCAACTAATAAAAAAGCTTTCACTCAGTTTGAAAATGAATGCCTAGATTTTTATGTAAGTGATAGTTCCACCTTGACAGTCCCCTTTTTGGTAGGAGTTTAAAGCAAACAAAATTTCAACAAACCCAATGTCAAAATACATACCTATCACATAGACTTCTGCATATGTGAAAGCCTGAAACAGCAACAGCCTTTGTTAATAAAAGCTTGGCATTTGCACACAAACTAATAATACATACATTCAACAGCCTGTGGGATAAAATACAGAAATATATCAACCTGAATACGTTTATATTAAAAATAAATTAATATTGTATATAGGCTTAATGACCTGTGAGAGAGCATGTCATCGACTGCCAGGTTAATACAGAGTCTTCAGAGAACATTAACTAACAGCTCCCTGACTGACATGGATAGTTTTGCTAAGAAGATGAGATCACTGTTGTCAGTCTTCTGCCATGATCAAACTAAGCTTATCAGTTCCAACTAACTGGAAGTTATCCGTTCCAATTAACTATACAGCGTTTTATGGAAAATTAACAATTGCCCCTTACTCGAAGAAGCCAGGCTACAAACTCCTGGAATTCAGGAAATGCAGCTGAAGAGCAGGATGGATGTCTTGGAAGGAAGAGCACTATTATCCTTCCTAAGCTAAACTGTATTCTGAAAAAATTATAGTTGCTACTTAGTATCACCTACAGTTTTCTTTGCTTGCAAGTAATAAATTTATACTTAAAGAGAAAACTAAGTGTGTTACTGTTTATAAAATTTATGTGGGTGTACATGCCATTTGAGATTCACTTCTGCTGTATGCAGATATAGGAACCATGTTTTAACATCTTTCAAGATAGACTGCTGCAAATGGGACTATCAAATGCATGTTCACCTGTACAAAGCATAGATCATTTTTAGAAGCTTGAATGCAAGCAATGCAGGCAATATGCAGACAAAAAAAACCAAAGGACACTCCACATTTTTAAACACAAGCAATAGGTTGCCTGCATAGTGATTTTTCCTCCTCCTTTTGATGCTACCGCAGTCTTCATAACTGCAAAGATCAATTTACTGTGAGTTTGCAAAATGAAAGGAGACCTCATAAACTAATATTCTAGGACACAGCCAGCAGTTAGTATATAGCGATACAAAACAATTTACTGATGTGGGTTGGATTTAACTGAGATCTCACCTCTCTAGAACACAGGAGGATGACAGAGATAATAAAGACAGCTTTGGGAGGAAGCTATGAGTGTTCTGTGGCACTGTGTCTACTTATATTCATGTACACTTACCTAAATAATTACAAATCAGACCAGTGATGGGTTTCAGAAATAGACCCGAAGTTACTAATTTTCTTTCAATAACAGTGAATTTGAGTGCAAGCATAATTCACTGCCAAACTGTTTTCAAAGCTTAGTGATACTGTTCTGTCACATAACATAAAAACTCATTGCCAATCCACAACCATGAAGCCATTCTAAATAATGCAATCTAGAAAGACCTACAATTGACTTTTATGAGATCATTGGCATTAGATAACATTCTGTATAACAGCAATGAAAAAGTATTACACCAGGAAGAAAAGGTTACTTATTTTTAAAAGGAGAAAAAGGGAAAAATAAACATTAAAGACTATACCAGAAGGTGACTTTATGCCACTGGGAAAGTTAGAAGCAGAGGCTGCAGAGGCAGGAGAGCGTACTTCCAATGTGGTATAATTGGGTACAGGATATTCCAAGTTTAAGCCCTCCTTTTCATCATCTGTAACATCTTCAAAAATCATGCCCCTCAAATAATGTTCTGATTCTGTAAAAAAATAATAAATACAGTTATTCGTGTAGACCAATAAAAAAACCCCCACAATGCAAAAACTATCACTCATATATATTTGTTAGTGGCGTAGTTAATCTGTCAAACCTAGAACAACCTGAACCTAGATCACTAGTGTCTCCCCATGAAAGGTCACTACCAGAGCTGTGGTGTATGCACCAGTCCTGTACATGTGAACAAAAAGACTAAACTATGAGTTGCTCTGTATGAGGCTAATAGACATCTTGAATATTAATATATATCTGTATAAATACAGATATAGCCATGATTTGGTTCTACCACTTGGTTTTGTATTAACTTCATAAGTAGATTAGACTATGTTTTGGTATGAATGTAAAATGGACCTGAAGTACATACCCCTAGCATGCTGCTTCTTGGCATAGTACGGTAGGTATAAGTAAATAGGTACGATATAGTAGATTGTTATATAAACAATGAATTATTCAATACATCAGCTCTAGCAAACAGTTAAGCTGATGTAAGCTTTTACTAAAATCAGCAGATATTACAACTAAACAGCCACCAAAGATCATTAAAAAAGTTTCTTTATATACACAGAGAAAACTGAGGACAAATTTCATATCCTTTTGTATCAGTAAGCAAAGCACTCATCAGTTTGATTTTATGATACAACAGAAATACATACCATCATCTTTAAAATCCTATACCCAAGTCCTGCATTATGGTTTTGGAAAAGATCAAAGTATACAGATATTTTCAAATGCATTTTTGTTGAAGCAGTATGCATAATATTCAGATTTTCTACTTTGATTTTATTTCTCTCTCTCATATTTTTGAGTTTTGGTGAATATTTCAATAACACTTCTGGGGACTGCATTAAACTTCAGTGGTAATTAAAAGTTAGTCAAGTTTAATATTCAACCTCAAGTTTACTATCCTCCTGTTAACTGAACACATACCATCATCAATGCTTCTAGCATCTTCAGCAAATGAAGGACGAGCACCAAGGTCTGAACTGGCAGCCATTTCAAAATCTTCTATTATTTTCACTAGCTATAAACAAAATCCAAAAACTAAGTAACGATACATTCTTCAAGGTATTTCTGAGAACTACACCACAGATATTCGTGCAAAGTTTGCTTTAAACACATTTTTTCCCTCAGAATCTTATGAACATTTTAATGGAGTATACTGATTCAAAACAAAAAAAATAGTTCAGGAATCGAAGTAGCTCAAGTAGATTCATTTCATCTAGAGGGTTCAAAATTCTGGACCCTTACTCTGAGAAAAATACATACAAACTGTATTATTCTTGTGAACAGTTTTATTGCTATTGATCACATTATTTTTATTTTAAAAATAACTGAAGTTTTCCAATATATTTTATCTAAAAACCACAGAAATAAAAATATTTCCATATTCTTCATAAGTCAGGAGTTTCTTGAAGTTTAAAACTAGAAAGTGAAAACTAAAACTGACTAACCTAGATTGAGACATTTTACTGAAGATTATTCTTACAAAGAACAGGCCTCAAAACTGATTTCTAATACATAATAAACGTTATAAAAGGAATTACCAACTGGTGTGCACTGAAATAAGGGCAAAAAAGAAAATGGGTTTATCTTCAGGATCTGGCTAGATATCCAGAAGTTTTAAAACCCAAATGCAGTGAAATGCTGAAACAAAAAAAGGATATGTGAAGATTTTTTTTCCACTACAGGCTTTTAAAAATCTGGCTAGATAATCACCTTGAAATAATCCACCTTAGTGTAATAACTGTGTGTAGTTGACACAATGAGGTCCTTGCATTTCTGTGAACACATGGAAGGACAGGCAATGGACAGTAGTAGTTTGAATGATTATACAAAAAGTAGATGCTGTGGAATTACACAGTGCTACTGAATTAATTCTTTATTAAGCCAGGTCTACAGGAACTGGAAACTGACTTAGTTTTCTTGATGTGCAAAGAAAAAGAAATTCTTTTTACCAGCTTTGTAAAATCAGAACCTATTGGCTCATTCTTAGGTTAGTCACTCCCTGTTTGCTCTAAACTTAATAAAAGTCAAAGTAATGTGAAGAAATAATTACCAGCATTGCCCATTTCACACACACTTAAAGTCAGCCACACCTCAAGTTTCAGGCAAATTAAACGAGATACAGTATTAAGAGGTCAGTCTGTTGAAAATTTTTTAACTTTTTATCATTATCTTTGTCATGACTTATAAGACAGTAGTTCCTGAATTATATATAGGATCATCTAAATGTACTATGTCCAAAATGCATTTATTTTATTTCTATATTTATAAATATAAAGACATTAAAATGCAAATATTTTATGAAATAAATAGGAACAGGTTCCAGAAATAGTCACATAACGTTCTGCAGAGGCACGACTGAAGAATTTTTGCCAAAAAGGTCTCTTGCTCAGCCTGAACTTTTGTGCTATTCCCTTTTCCCAGTTAGAGAAATTAAATATATTCTGCCCATTCACTAAGAACATCAGCATTCTAGCCAGCATTTAGTCCATTATAAGTAACCATGTCAGGCAACAGATGCAGCTCTAAATGTGAAAGAACCGTGTATTATTCTCGATCTCTCTTGACATATACTAAGCAGATTTGAAAACACATCAGTCCAAAATGTAAATTTTGTCTTTAGCTGAAAGAAGTTAAAAAATAAACTGTTTCAGACACAACACTTAGCAGTCAGAACTCACCAGTTTGGTTTTTCTGAAATCCTCCTCCATATTTTCTGTTATGTTCTGTAGTGTCTGTAATTGCATATCCATTTCCTGCTGCTTTGTGGAAAAGTATTCTTTGCCAATTACTTTGGGTGGTAGCCCTGAAGAAGGAAAAGTTCTGTTGTCTTCACGTACTATGTTCCAAGTTATACTATCTCTAGCAGAATCTGCCTTCTTATCTTCCTTTTGCACTTGGCTTGATACATTTTTCAGATGATCATCTTGCAATAGAAAAAAAGAGCACACCAATATCACTGAATAAACTGCAAACATTTAAGTACTGCAAGTAATTAGGCATAGCTGTGCTACACCTAATAGTATGTTTTAGGAGGCAGGAATCGTCACAAAAGAAGTCAAATGTATAAATGTTTTGACGTATAAGACTAAAAAAGAAGGAGGTGAATTGGGGCAAGGCTGGAAGTTTTCTGTGGAAGGTAGGAATATTACAACAAAAGTGTATAGCTGTTTTGTCTGATTTAAAACCGAAATGGTTTACCTTCCTTCTGAAGCGCCTTGGATGGAATTGCATTAGTAACAGAAACTACCATGTGATGAAGTTTTGCAGTAGATGGAATTTCAAACTTCTCATTTTGCTGTGTAGCAGCTATCTCTTCTGCAGACTCAGGTATCATGGGCAAATTAAGGATATCACTGTCTTCAATGTCAATCACACTGATATATTGATGTTCACTCTAAACAAGAACAAGATTATGAAGAATTATACAGTATCTGTTTTGCATACATTGTTTCCAGTACATTGTTAACCATTTCCTGTGTTTACCTCTTACCACTTTGAGTTGAAAGGCTTTTTGTTTTGGAGGCAAAATAACTACAGTCTTTTCTACAGTATTACACAACTGACTGATCCAGATACAAAGAACCCAAATTCATAAGGTAAGACAAACAGTACACTTAAAATGTATTTTAACCATTGGACCACTAACCAAATCAGGTGCATCTGGCAGAAAGGATGGCAAAGGTCTCTCATTCACTTCAGTGGGGAATTTCAGGTTTAAATGCATGTCTGGTGGTAGTATCTCAGGGGCACTAGATGATTCTATGAGAAAAGAATAATGGTCAGTATTATATTTATAGTAAAAGCCATGAAACTTCAGACAGCCTATTTGGAAACAGGTCTGCATTCTCTAAATGATAAGTAAAGCTTTGATTAGCATTTCTTTTAAAAATGAAGATAGACAATGTAGCTTAATAGGTTTCTTTAATGTTTGCTTCTGACAATAAATTACTAAATTATTTTTAATTTTCATGATAAACTAGCAGAAAAATACTCAAAAGATTAAAATCAACACACTGCAGTCTAAATCGCTATTCATTTCCAATTCCCTCCTGAATAGGTTATAAAACTAAAAATCTGCATCTTTACTTGATCCAAATAAATTATACTACTCAGCTAGAAAGACCTCTAATAAACTATCTGCAAAGAAGTCATGTGACATGCTAAAATAATCTTACAAGTGGAGCAATTTTAAGAGAGGAAAAATTAAATGCTCACCTGGTACCATAGGGAAAATACTTCAGTACTGAATTCTACATAGTACAGTTTATCAAGGATTTATACAATAGGGGGAGAAAACCCAAACCAAAATAAATCTTCTTTAGCCCAAAATCAAAGTTACCTTCTATTTTTTGTTCTACAAACTGAACCAAAAGATGACTGACTGGGAATAAAATTCCTACTTGAGACTGGAACATTCTTACTTGGCATATAGCTATTACACAACTTAGCAGATGCATGGAGTAACTGTATAATTAGCTGAGCTACTGCAGCTCGATTTCATCTGGAGCTGTGACCTGTCTTAACATTCCACCGGTCAATCCACTTGGTCTATGTAACACCAACTCCCCAAGATTAAGTGGCACTAAAACCAAGCTAAAACCCACAAAGGTACGTCCTCATACAGGAATTCAAAAGCATAGGTACACTGCCCCATGAAAAATTCCAGCTAAACTTTTCATAAACAGTATTATAATTACTTCACATTTGGTTTCAAGAAGTCAGATAAATTAGCATGTTCTTATCTATATCCTGCATTAAGCTACCTCATGTACAAAAACCATGCTAAAATTGTAATATTTTTATAGACTTCACAAACAACAAATGAAGTAGAGAAAGACTGAAGCCACACCTGACACAGGAACAGACATGACTGACTCATTTTTTCGAACTTCAGAAACCTCATTTCCACCACTGTTTCCAACATCCTGATGTGACTGGAGCTCTTGACAGGGAAAAAAATCAAAACCAAAATGAATTAATTTAAGGAAAGACACTGATGGCATTATCTAGATGTACATTTCTGACTTCCCAGCTCACAACCAAAGCAAAGATGGGGGGGAAAAGGCAGGGAAAAAATTTTAGTCATGTGAAACATTGTCTAAAATGCATTTAGATAAAGTCAAGCTAAGTTAAAAGGAGCTTTCAGAAAAAGTCACAGCAGAACTGACTTACAGAAAGCATGTGGAGACTCTTACATAACTGCATCAGTAGTATTTTTATATATAATTATTTAAACTATTATTTTGTAATTTATATTCCAGTATCTTCTGGTTTAATAAGTTTTGAAACAAAAAGTTACTGCACAAAAACCTGTTTTCCCCATTAAAAACTTACTCCATTTTGGAAACTGACCAAATATCACAATTACCAAGAAGCAATACCAGAAATTGTTGGTTGCTGTAGGTCACACAGGTAGGACTAACCTGGTTGAGTATTTGTACTTGCATCTTGAGTTTCTGCTGGTTTTTTTCCTGTAGAAGCCATGTAATGTAGATCTGCTGAAGTAGTACTTGCTTCCCTCATTGTGTCTAAAATGCAATAATATACGATAGGTGTCTACAAATAATGCAAGAATTAGAAATCTATGAAAGAAATGATATTAACTCAAAACTAAGGGCTCCAACAGATTTTTCTTTGCTTCAGAAATTTCATTTCTGACAGATAATTTTAACCTTTCTCTAAGCATACTTCACGAATGAGTTCAAGAAAAATTTGTACTACCTGCCTTATGTGAATATCCAACTGTACTGAAACTTAGAATGTTACACTGAATTAAAATCAAGGCTCAGTTTGGACATGTAATTTTTAAATTAAATATTTCAGTATGCTGTACAGTAACAATTTGTTTCATATTTTAAAAGGGGAGAGGTATTTATGACATGTATACCTTTATTTCTTTATTGATGTTTCTACAGAGCTTTGCAAGCCAGTATTTAAGGCCAAATTTCAGAGAATGGATTAAATTTTGTCCTCTGATAGGACTAAACATTGTGCTGAATTCATGTACTAGAAAGAAGCAAATCTTTCTATAAGGCATGGTCTTCATTTTGCAAGCCAGAAATACTGTAAATATTCAGTTTCTTTTAAAAGAGCCTTAAATTTTGTGTAATTAGAATATGCAGGCAAACAAAATTGGAATATCTTTTAAGAAAAAACTGATTTAGAATTTGAAACCATTGTTTACAGCATTCTTCTGATGAATCACATGAACAGAAGTCACTGTAAACCATAGTTTCTGAAATTCACTCAACATACTGTTACTATTTCATGAAGTCCATGGTTTATAAACATAAGATTATCACTTATTGTTAAGAAAATTTAAAATACTTCTATAATTTCAGAATTATTCTGAGTTTACACATAACTCATACAAGATCATACATTTGCCTGCACGTCCCTCCACACCAATCCCCTAAAAACTGACTATCCCAAAAACCAGACTGAGTATATCTGTTGTACATTCTGAAAGGTGTTCCTATTTTTCAGGGGAAAGATCCCATAAGCCATTACACTGTATTACCCACAGACTACACAATTAGAGTTTTTAACATCTTCATAACTACAGAGTTTTCCTTTGAAATCTAACAAACTTCTGTTCCTTGATTTATTTTATTTAAGTACTCAAAGCATTAAAAAGACTTGTACTTGCCCATTGAAATGAAAAAACCATCTTGAAGGCAAGATGTAGATTTTGGTTGTTGATCCTAATATAAGGAGAAAAAGAATTATCTTAAAAATAGTTCCAATGCCAGTTAAAGACTTTCTTGATGCCTTTATCAATACACCTCCTTTGAGTAATGATTTCGGGTGGGGGTGAGTAAGGGAAATCAGTGTAACATACTTTTCTTAACCCCTTTTTTAAGTCTTCTGATGTATTCCAACTTAGTGGAATTACTGACTACGTAACATTCTTTCAAATAATTCCACATTCTTCGAATATATGCTATCTCTGCTGTACCATAATTAACATCTCCCAGGTCTGGTGAGGCTCTCCAGCTGCTGTGCTGGACAGGGAAGTCTCAATGAAGGTATGGTATGGAAGAGAAGTAGAGCCTGCTGCTCTGGGTAGTGATCTAGCATTAAATCTGGTAGTGTTCTAGCTTGAAATCTTGCAAGGATAACCCCCAAATATGTTAAAAGGTATCAAAAAGGCCTAGGCAAACAACAGTAGAAGTGCATAAATCAAAACCCAGCTTGACAAAGACTTTCTCTTCTTAGTTTCTTGGCTGAGACGGAATTGAGTCCGCATGCTCCCCATCCTCACTCCTATGTTGTCATCATCTAGCCTCATGTGAAAAGAGTAATGCTTGGGTCATCTGTCCTAGCATTACTGCATGGCTAAACTTTTTTTTTTTGTTTTTTAAGCAATTAGCATTTGTGTATATACTTACTTTAAACGTACATACAGACAAATAGTCTATCAAAATAGACAAGTTCATGTCCCAGGAAAAACAAAAGCAACCTTGGAATGCTTTATAAAAATAAATCTCTTGTCTACAGAAAATGCAAGTATATGAATGAAAGATGTATATTGTTTCTAGGCTAGAGCCTTGGAGAGATTTGCATGGTTGTTTTGGTTTACCGTTTCCTGCTTTTTTCTCTCCTGTTAATACTTGAACAGAAAAAGGCAAAGAAAAAAAAACATTCTTCTATACCCCAGTCCCTGATTCAACAACCATCGCTGTATCACTAATACTGATGATGGAGTCATCTGGGCAGGACACACTTGGTTTCTTCTTTTTCTCCTTCTCTTTCATTTGTTTGTTATCATGCCTCTTTTGTCTGTCAACATATTAATTACAAATAAAAAAGTAAGAACTACACTGAAATAAAAATACCTATCTTAATAGCAATATTTCTTTGAAAACAATGAAATATACACTGAAATAAAGGTGGAAAATGCAAACACAACTGTTACATACAGATCGGTTCAAAGCACCACTTTTGCCTGCAGGAAATCTACACAAAATTGCGATAGGAACTCATAAAAATACCTAACAATCACACCAAAATCTGTTAAGTCTAATAAGCTGTTACACAAAATATTACAAACTGTGTAACAGTATCTGTATTTTGTGTATAATAAAATAATCATTACTAAACAAACTACCTGTAAGCAATCTGTAAGAAATACTTCAGCAAGAAACAAACTTCTGTTATCGTTGAAACTTTCTAATTAACTATTTTACTAAAAAAGTTGCAAATCATCTTTAATATCTGATAAGTAGATTATAAGACAAGCGTAGCTTCAAGCATTTCAGTTGGTAATTTCAAAACAGGTATTCTAAACTCCAGCTGCAGTTACTTACATATCAATTGTTTTTCACCTTAAGAGTGAAAAACTCATCGTAGAGTCTGTGTTTCCAACTGCCAGAGTTAGAAGCATCATAACCAGAACCAAGTGTTCTGTTCTAGATGCAATGATGCCATTAGCTGTTCCGTGGAAAACACAGACCTGTGAAACGTCAGGAATCTATTGACATTATATAAGAACTGAACAAAGATATGCATGCAGGTTAAACAAACTGTTTTAGCTGCTTATGCAATCAATTAACAACGAATAAATCAGATTTCCAAAGTCATGTATAATATACCTGGCAAAACAAAATATAACATCCCTTCAGCAGCTATTTTGCTCATCACTATCTGGATTCAGAAACAGAGCCTATATCTTGAATTACATTGAAAGAGCATAACCCTTTCCTTCTTGAAGATTACTACTAACAGTGATGGCATACAGTGCAGACAGTAGCCTATTCAGAGTCATTGTGTAAGCAGCAAAGCATTTAATGAACAGTATATAGCAAACAGCCAGACAACAAGACTTTAAACCACAGATACCAGTATGAAAAACATTTCCCCTTGAATCTTCTTCCTATCACCCTGGTAACAGCAACAACCCCTTCATGTCCTAATGCTACAATTCTCCTACCGTGCCTTTACTAATATTTGCTATTTTATTCTCCTCCAATTACATCCAATCCCACTTTATTTGAAGCTGTTCTAAAAACTCCCACTGATTTCAAAGCTAGAAGATACAGGTTACCAGTAAGTCTTTCAAAATGAAGAACCACTTTAAAAGTTTGGCTTGCCTTCTTCTATTACTCTGCACATCTCTTAGTTCAAATGGTTCAACATCAGTTTTTAGTAACTGGATAGGTTCAGTTTGGTCTCGTCCAAAGGAAGTACTGGGCACAGCATGGTGCTGGTGGCATTGCTCAAATGCAATGAGATCTTGAAGTGGAATGAGTTTTGGTGCCTGAAAGTGTTCAGAGAGAGAAAGAAGCAAAAATGAAACAATGATAAGGGAAACAGAGAGAGGAATCCCAGTCAGATGGGATCAACTGAGCAGGTCCAGTTTGGATCTCAGTTATACAAACTGTAGCAATTTGTGGAGAAAGCAAAAATGTAGTATTAACAGCATCAGACCAGAATCTTAGCTAATGTGTACATGTGTAAACTATTTTCTGAAAGTAAACTAAAAGATATTCATTTTCTATACAGAATGTATTTCACTAATATTTGCGTAGAAATATTAGTGTATGTAGTTGAGGATGAAGGTAGGAACAGTGCAATGTAGACAAGGACTGAAGAAGCAGCTTTCAAGGAAAAATGTTTCCATTCTTTTCAACTGGAATAGGCAAGCATTTTCAACTGGAATGGGCAAACATTTAAGAGTCTACCAGAACAACATTTTTCAAAACGTCAAGTTCTCAACGTCCAGAAGATAAGGTTTTCTTACTGAGCCTTTTAGCATTCCATTTCTGCCCTTACAAAAGAGGATTTCTTACTGCATTCTTTGTATTTCTGTATATAATTCTATTTAAATTACTGTAAAAACTATTTTTTACCATATAAATATTATCCAGTACTTTAGACAGTAAATTCCTTACATTCATTATTAATGGGCTGAATGTTGATGAACTATGGAATGTGGAATCAATCTAAAGTTGTTAAAAACATTTCCAAGCTTGCAGCTTGCCTCATATTGACATGCCAATAAGGAGGTACCTTAGTTCCAGATCCCTTCTGATAGCTGTGCTGAGCACTTCCAAACTCCATTCTCTGGAAACATTAACTTATTTTAGATGAGTAAGAAATGATGAAACTGAAAAAACCCTACAGCTTAGAAAAGTATATTATTAAAATCCAGTACCTTTTTTTTTTGAGGTAAATTAGCATGGAGTAGTGATATTCCTGTGTGCTGTAGTGTTTCTCTGCAGTCAGTCTCCTTTGTTGCAGGTTTAACAGGTATTAAAGTAGTAGTGATTGGCTGTCTTACAACTGATGGAAGTCTACGTAGTGGGTCAAGTTGCAAGTGCAACAGTGGAATACCAGCCAGGTTCTGAGTGATCAGTGCTTTGTCCATATTCACATTTGCAGAGGGCTGCTGCCAAGATGAAACTTCTTGCTGTCCTTCATACTGATCTAGATTCAGGTGTTTGGGAGGTCCCTTATGCACAGTTTCTGCCCATCTTTTCTCTTCTTCATGCATCTGCCTTGGGATCTCAGGGTCGTATCTACTCATGTTCAAATCTGCTGTTGACCTACTCCTTCTTGGTGTGTATGATGACTGATGGTTCCATAAGGAATTTGATGAACTCCAAGCTACTCGTGGTACTGGGGGTGGTCTAGCAAAAGCTGATGACATTTCTATTGGATGTAAAAATGCCGGTTTGAAAAGATAACCTGATTCAAGCTTAAGCAAAGGAAACGCATTTGAGTAATCCATTCTTTTCTCAATAGGGATAAGCTTGGGTGTTTTCTGGATGTCTGAGGAAGGAGCTAGGAGATGAAGTGGTTTAGGAGGTGCTGAAGAATGCAAATCTTGAGACGGAGGCATAAATCCTGTTTCTCTGCTGTGGCTTTCTAATGGGCTTAAAGAAACATTCACATCCAGATGATTCTAAATTAGAAAAACAAACAAAACAGTATTTACAAGTACCTTGAAATAGCAACCATGCCCTAAATTCGCACAAAAATGACAAAAATCTTTTTTGTCTACAGCAAACACTACGAAAACATTTCCTAATTTAACAGCACAGATAACATATCAGATATACAGAACAGTCTTTATAAACAACACTTTGATATACCTACTTTTATATGGCCATTGTTGCCTTCATCTCTTAAAATATTCCTTGGTTGAAAAGCAAAGCTCTTTTGACCAGGTTTTCCTTTGTCTTCTTGAGCGGACAGCTGTGTTTTCAGAGAGCCATTGCCTTCTACGGTATGTGCAGGCTGGCTTCCTTCCGGGAGAACAGATTGATACTGTTGCACATTTGGCAGGTTCGCAAAGGATGACTGCACTATTTGCATTAAACTCATGAAGTTGATTTGCTGTAGCTGAATATATATATACACAAAGTTAACACTGTAAACAACTTCAACAGGAATCTTAGCAAAAGTTCTATGTCCAGGCTATGTTACAACTCTTCATTATCCTGTTAACATAGGTGGCAAAATAAACGTCCCAAAGTTTAAATCATGATTAATTTGTATGATTGTTTATAGTACTGGACTTTCTTTTAAGATACATTAAAAACCTGCCACACAGAGGTTACGATAAAGCAAGACAAATTCCTTTACTTTTTTGGTGAAGTCTGAGTAAATGTAAGGTCACACAGAATCATCTCAATGTACTAACAAAAATTAAATCCCAGTATAGCTGCAAAGTTATTACAGCTTTAGAATTTTTCCTATACTATTAGAGCACACTGCATTCTGTGAACTAAAACATACTCAAACTTTTATTACCATATTACTCATTTTCTTTAACCTAAAGCAAGAGTTAAGTCTAAAATAAGTTTTCACAGTAGTTTACGTGGAACTGGAAATCTCTCTCAGAAACAACCACATACAGAATACCTTTAAAACAGCAATTATCCCCACTGTTCTAAATAACAGTTTATACTGTGAACACCATTTTCAACAATGAAATGCTTTCACCTGAACTAACTTAAACATTTCATCTTGGAGCATCTGCCTGACAGTTTCTGATGTGTTTAGCTTCTCTTCTGCAGGGCCTTCTTTCTTGACTTCTTGCTTCTTTGCACAAATGGAAGTATTGGAGGCAACACTTGACATAGTTGACACAACAGTCTGAGAAGGCTGACCACCACTTAGAGAAATCTCTGTATTACTTGAGAAGAGAAGGAAAATAACAAAACTATTAAAAACATTCATAGTCAGAACACCTATACTAGGTTGTCTCAAATCAATCCAGAAAATTTTAAAGATACCTTCATTTTTCTAAAGCATAATTAATTTGTAGGAACAATTTAATAACTAACACTGCACAATCGTCATTGGAGATCATGCATGACATCTTTTTCCTAATGCCTCCTAATATACTGAATGAAAAACAGTAGTAAAGACCTAAGATCTATCTGATTTTTAGTCACAAGTGTATCTGAAATGTTATCTTCACTAGACATACTGGTAAAAACTAGTGATTTGACAGAAAGACAGCCTGGTTAGTCAAAACCAAAACAGCTGATGGAAAATGGAGAAGGACATTATTAGCTGAAATAACAGAGATGGCAGATTCACTTTCATTTAAATAATTAAATGTGCCTTTATATATTTGGAATTAAACAACAACAAAATTTCAGATCAGAAAACAGTAACATGAACCAGATAATACAATATATTGAATTTTCTCAAAGAGATGATTAGGTCTTGTAGTAGGTAAAGACTACTAAATAGATGAAGTCCTCAAATGAAGATGAGAGGGTAAGAATTTACACTGTTACAAAGAAACTCAAGGACTTTACCTACATCAACAGAAATTGACCCAAGAAACATTTCTCTGTTTAAGAAAAATGCTGACATTGCTATGGGCACAGGCAACCTTTGGAGGATTTTTGACAACTGAATAGTATGGCCTCCAAGCATGTAAAGAAATAGAAGCATAAAGCAATGGCTAATCAGTAATACTGAAGAAGTTTTGGATATGTAATACATGTGAAGGGGCACAGGAAATCTTTTGGAAGACAATTAGAATGTCTAAGCATGGCATGAAACCCTAGAAGTTGGAGAATTTTTTTTTTTTTTGGAAAAAAAAGCTGGCACGAAAAACTCAAGAATGAAATGAGTCGAGACACACATGAAAATGGAATCCAAAGGGATTTGTACTTCAGATCTTCCTCTAAACTGAAAAAAACTCATAGAGGACTGTTCTAGAAGTGAAAGCCAGAGTTCGACTCCTGACCCCTTTTCCCAATTCCAACCTTCTCCCCATTTATAGAAATATTATGTATATGTTTATGGGTATCTAGCAGTTTCTGTAGGACATACATATTTTAATAATGTCATAAAAATATGACTAAGTTTATAATGTTATTGTTTAGGTGTTTTATGTAACAATATATCTTCTGTAGTAATATAATTATAATGATTCTGTCTGGAACCAGAAAACAAAACTATCACTTCTCTTGAAATCTGGTAGCTCTGAATCAACAAATTTGATTCATGTGATATTCCGGACAACATGCAAGAGTACACGGTCCTCAAGGATTATAGTACAAAAAGGTTTCAGGAAAGGCTACTTAGTACTACAGTTGGCACGTACAAATCAAATCTACACATCACGTTATTTCAGACTGAAAATTTAATGGGGGTAGTCCATTTTTTATTGTATAAACCATTATGGGTTTACCTTACCTGGGAACTTCCGCATTTTGTTCTAGAGAGAATGACTGAGAAATGGTGCTAGTAAAAACCTCAGTCATGCTATAAAGAAAGAAAAAATTAGTATTGTAAATACTACAGTAATTTGTTATGCTGTTTATGTTCATTTTATATACATATGTGTGTGTGTATACATATATATAAAACCTCCTGAAAAAGTATTTTAATTAGCGTGAGATAAAATACCTCAAAGCCACTTGATCAGATCTATACTGATCTGCATTGCTTCAATTACTGCATTACACTGCAATTTGAGCTGGCAAATATTGACATTCATACTTTGTCTCCCTAGCAATCAGAAACTGACTCAAACAAAAGCACTGAAAAGGTTCTGGCTATTCAACACAAACAGCAGGAAAAAAGAGGTTGATCTGAGTTGACAAAAGAAGAGAAAACTAAATTTAAGCAATACTGTCAGTATCATTACAATCTGCATTCCTGAAAAAGAAAAGCATGTATCATAAGAAATCCTCAAGGGGCATCTGATGTGCAGGTTTGGGGTTTTTTCCTTTCAAAACAAGAATATATCAGTTTAAAATAGTAGAGATTCTAAGACTTTCTAAAATTAAACCATTTAAAACTTTTCCACAAACATTACATATACACACAGGAATATTTATTTATATACCATCAAAATTAATAAGACTTTCTAAAAGTTAAGACATTCAGGGTACTGTGTATCAGAGGAAAAGGTTTCACTACTATAAACAAATTTGGTGGATTCAAGAAGAAAGCTAACTGAAGTAATAAAAATAGGTTCATATTTTTCTAACACTAAAACAAATGAAAAAATCTCAAAAGGCCAAGATTCCTAATGGTAAATGTAATGAACCCTGTGTTTACAGAATAGAGATTCTTCCCCTGAAAAACTTCGTAGAAATCAAACTGAGCAGTAATCTATTCAAACAGATGATGTGACAACCAGGTTTACGGACTGTTTCTATAATTTTATATACATTATATTATAAATGTAGAGATATTTTAAAACAAAAAATTTTGAAAAGATCATAATGAAGTAAATTTCTTAAGTTTTTTAAAAGACCTCCTTCCCTCTTTCAGGAGCTAACAAGCTTTTCGCCCATACCCATTTTTATCTCACCTTCTGCTTCCTAGACACCAACCTCTTTCTTCTATGTTGTGTAACAATTAACTATTAAGTTTCCTATAGAATCACAGCTTTCCACCTGTATTTAGCCGGAAGATGCTGCTCCTATTTCATGTCTGGGGAAGTAATTGTGTATCTGAAAGCTTTTCCAGTTATTCTCTATCCTTCACCCAGATATAAAACACACCTTCCCACAAACCATGCCTCTATTATTTGATCATTACTAAAATAACCTTCATCCACCCAGCACATTGTACGTGTGAAATGCCTGTATATGTGAAATAGGAGATGACTGCAATTTTGTTTCAAACTCAGAGTTTGTTGCTATAAACAACAGCAAGAAACCCATTGAGACTTCACTGGATACCATAATTAACAAAACTACTTTAGATTTTTAAACAAAGTTAAAACAGGAATTAAAGCAACAAAAAAAAGTCTCTCACGCATTCCGTTCACCCTTTCCTTCCTTTGTTTTTTCCACCTTTTGGTCTTCCTGGGGACTATCTACATCTGAAATGGAGACATGCTGGAATATAAAAAGATGCATCTGAACTTGTAAATTTTGTAAAAACCCCCTTGTGCTTCAATAAAGTTTTATTTTTTACCCTAAGGCAAACACACTTTTGATTAATCAGCCACTTGAAAAAAATCTGACTGAAAAATAATCAAAATTACATACTTATCAGAGGACAGCTACAGATCAGAAATAAAGAGGTATTAGATTCATCTGAGCATGTTTCTTTTTAAGTCATTATTATGAGTTTTTATTTACAAATTCATATCCATCTAGTACCCTGGAAATATACTCTGCTAACCTCACACCTCCTAGGTAATGATGAAAATGTGGAAACAACCATATTATACACAAACTATTTACAAACTAAGAAATTGAAACAAATGCAGGATTTTACCCATGACACAGATTCATTATAGCAGAACACAGTATAGAATTGAAGATTAATACACATCTGTTGTTACTAATCCCATTAACGACACTGAATCTAGAGTACTACAGGCAAGTAAATTGATGGTATTGCAATTCACATTTCAGTATGATAGCCCTTAGCCAATTTCAAAGAAAGGAGACTTATAACCAAAGATGATGTATGAAGAAACAAGGCTTGTTTACAGATCCAGACTGAGTTTTCAGACAGGAGCAAAATGAACATCTTTATATATTTAAATTAAAAACAAGGAAATATGCAAACAAGTGGTAGAATCTTTACTTAACCACCCTGTGGCAACTTCAAAAAAAAGGAAAAAAAAGTTGTTAATAAAACCTTCTAGTATAAAAAAATACATGTAAGAATCTGGTCTATTAACCAGAAGACCATCTGTTGGGTTTTTTTTTGTTTGTTTGGCTTGGTTTTTTAGTTTACGTGGGTTTAGAATTTTGTATATATATGTGCATAGATAAACTTATGTATTTATATGTAGTGTTACACACATTATATAGATTTAATGTAATTGTATATATATAAAAAATTATATATATTCCGTATACAGGCATAGACACACTTTAGTTTTACAAACGATGAATCAGTTTTCAAAAGTGCTCATAGCACATCTCACTTTACTACTCTTTAATTACTTATGACTTTTATTACTGATTTAAGCAGGGGAAAAAAAATCACCAGTCCTAAATGCTTTAAGCCCTCAATTTCTCAAGTATATTGAGGAATTCAGAATATTTTGAAAAGAGTATTCATAATAATTTGATGCTTCTATGCAAGATGGTAACTTGCCTTTCCTTTTTGGTGTTCTACACGTTTGATCTTGACAGAGCTATTGGAGCTCTTTGGAGTTTCATATGGCTCTTCAAGGAGCTCTACAAAATAAACACAATTACTCCCAATCAGAAAACTACATGACTTACAGCACTGTTATGTGATTTCTGTCAATCAGTCACATTAGTCCACTTTTTCCCTAGCAAGAAGAAAGGGGTTGAGAGATCTCAGCAAATTCAAAATCTGTGTTACCACTACTGATAACGCATGCACCAGAAGAAGGAAAAAAAAAAAAACCCAACATATTTTTCACATTATTTTCATGGTAGGAATATGATAAAACTTAACCTACGTATACACAGCTCTTACAATTTTCAAATCCAATTTTACACAGTTGCGTGAATGTTTTTGGAATGAAAGTAAATGATTAAATATGTTAATATACGTTGTCCTATCTCTATAGCAAGAAGAAGTTACATAAGTGAAACACTGATCAGAAAGTCTTGAGAAAGCAATTGTATAAAATTTAGTTATAATATGAAAGGGATACAATAATAATTTCAATGGAAAAATGAAAACTTATTTCCATCTTTTAATTAAATAAACAGAAGGACATATAAACCTATTCAGGCAAGACTCCTGTTTTATACATCAGACCATAGTAAAAGGTTATACCATAAAAACAAACCTCCACTTTCTGACGTTACATCTAACTCCTCCTGAACGAATGGTCCCACTTCATTAAGATCTTCAGTCATATGAGATACAGAATACTTCTGATGATTAACTTCCTTCTTATCAAAATATTTTGACTCTGTAGACATTCTGGTAATTGGAATTACAAAAGGTAATTAACAATAGAAATAATGTAAGTATCTGACTTAGTTTAAATACACTGTTCCTCTCAAATTGCAGGCTAGCGCATAACTGCATACATTCGTGTAAATTTTCTCTCTGAATTTCACTTAAACCAAGATTAGTATAATTTTTTGGTATAGCTGTGATTTTTTTAGTGACATTAACGGTACAGTCTTTTAGATAGGCTGTTTCCAGAAAAATGTAACCAACACATATGATCTACCAAAAACGGAAGACATACACTGCACCATGACTTCAAAATCATCCAGTTAAGATTACATTTATCTCCCTCACAGAAAATTCCTTTATTAAAAAAATTCTTGTCTCACAGGACACACAATAATGTCTCAGAATACCAAAGATCTTTTGTTTCTTTAGTGCAGCAGAAGATGAAGAGAAATGTCACAAAGGACTTCAGGTTAAGGAATTCCATCTCCAGAACTGTGTAAGATACTAACAAATAAAATATTTACTGCCTTTTTCATCCATTTTTCCGACATGCATACATATGAACACGATAGATTACAGATCCAGGGAAAAATAAACTAATGTTGTGAACTCTCATCTCAACATAAGGATAATTATACTAAGGAGAGTGGAAGTTATCCAAACTTTTTGAGAAAACCATGGTATCAACTATATCAGAAATCTAGATTCCATTTCTATGTCACAACGTTTATAAACAACCATGTACAATTCACTTCATATGCAACAGCTACATTGATTTCTACCTAGCAGTACATCTGCTTATGGAGAATATTTAATCTGCTTCATGCAGCTGTAAACAATATGCATGAGTCTGACTTTGCACTCAAAATTAAACACATACATAACATGTAACAACAGTAGACCTCTTCATACAGACATACTGCATACCTGAGGAATTATGACCAAGTAGATCTCTTAAGTTAAAAAAAAAAAAAAAATTACCCAAAATTGTTTTCAGAGAGATCATCATACGTTTGTTCACTCTGGACATCAAGTGGAGGGTTTGCCACCATTGAAGAGCCTTCATGCATACTACTTTCTTTCTCTGTCCTAGACTCGACTTCTGATAGAGATGCAAATTCTTTCAGATATTGATTATCCAGACTCTAATAATAGTAATAATAATGAAAATTCACTAGGTTAAAAAAAAAAAATACCTGATACTTCAAAAAAACCCCCAACAATTTCATATAATATGCTTATGACTCCAACAATATGTATGTATGTTTATGCTTAACTTCATAAACTTTTCTCTATTACAGATCTGAGAAATACTGGATTTACAGTTGTCTGTGGAACCTGAGTTTTGCCCCTTTTTGCAATTGTCAAAGATGCTATGTGACCATTAAACATGATCTATACAAAGATATACAATAGGATTTGGCCTTCATCACCTGTAATACAAAACTGGTATTAAACTACTTTAAATTATTATCACTGAAGACAGTATGAGAAACAAAAAGCCATACATAATCATGCAGTTAGATGCATGCACAAAATTTTGGCAGCAAGTTTTAAGTAAAATACAGGTGGCACTTGTCAGAAAATACAAAGCAAAACCAAGACAAAAATCTCTTTTCATCTGGAAAAAAAGCCTTCTCAAAAAACCCCACAACCCTCTCCTCTCAAAGGCTTCCATGTAGACTTAATTAAGGAGGACAAGTGATCCAGCTGTCCCTAAACATAAAATAAAGCAATACACATCAGGTTCTTCTGGCAAATCTCTTCTTTTATATTAATACTCATTCTCCAACTCTGTGTAACAGTGCTGGACGGAAATTCAAAATTCAGTTTTCACCAGTCTTTAACTAGTTTCAATACTTCAGACTGTATCTGCATTGTTTTGGGTCCCTCAGTACAAGAAGGACATTGAGGTGCTGGAACGTGTCCAGAGAAGGGCAACGAAGCTGGTGAAGGGTCTGGAGCACAGGGCTGATGAGGAGCGGCTGAGGGAACTGGGATTGTTTAGTCTGGAGAAGAGGAGGCTGAGGGGAGACCTTATCGCTCTCTACAACTACCTGAAAGGAGGTTGTAGTGAGGTGGGTGATGGTCTCTTCTCCCATGTAGTTAGCGATAGAACAAGAGGAAATGGGCTCAAGCTGTGCCAGGGGAGGTTTAGGTTGGAAATTAGGAAAAATTTCTTCTCCGAAACGGTTGTCAAGCATTGGAACAGGCTGCCCAGGGAGGTGGTGGAGTCACCATCCCTGAAGTGTTCAAAAAACGGGTAGATGTGGCACTTCGGGGCATGGTTTAGTCTAGTCTACCCTTGATTGGTTTAATGTGGGCTTGGTAGTGTAGGTTAATGGTTGGAATGGATGATCTTAAAGGTCTTTTCCAACCTAAACGATTCTATGATTCTATGATTGTCCTCAAAGACAAATGAATCTAAACTCAAGTCTCCCCAGATAAACTATTTCTTTATTCTTTATCTCATTTTTCCATACTCTATCTCCAATAATAGGTTTCTTCAAAGATGTTGTCTAAAACTAGACACGATGGCCTAACTTGTAGGAATTTGCTCAAATAATGTGGTATCTAGAAAACGAGTTGGATTTTAAACAGGGCTTCCAAATAGAACTTTAATCTCCAACCAAAGTCTTCCTACAGACAGAATTCCAGTATTCCTGGAATGTTTCTCTTTTCCTAGCAACCCTTAAAAGACAGGGTATTAATGAATATTCCAGGTTTTACTGAGAATAGAACTATGAGGTAAAAGATGCACGTGATTTTCTTTACTGGCATAACTAACTCACACATTTCATTGACACTTATCTCACCCTTTTTCTTACCTTAATTTTTATGCTCTTTGCTTGACATCCATCTCTGTATAACTGTTCTAATAGCCATAAAGAAGTAAGGACAGCAGCTGCTGATGTTTTCACATGTATCATTGGGAGAATCTCTTCTACGGAATCTTGTTTACTGGAACCACAGAGCAGTCTTTTATCCGACCATCTGATCATCCACTCAAGCAATTTTGCAATATTGTTCAATTTACCCATCAATTCTATAGCCAGTTCTTCTCCTGGTACAATATCAACTATATCAACAGTTTTGTAAATGTATTTAGAAGTTGCCCAAGTTTGCAGGCTAGAGAAATTACAGTTAGGAAAGGTCTGGTTTGCTGGTGTAAAAGTGACTCCTTGATTGTCACTCTGAGCTCTGTAAATGGACTTGTGTTTTAAACCAAATAATCCTTCATTATGTCCTTTCATTAGGTTACGCACAGAAGGTTCTGTTGTCTGTACAATGGACTGTACAATGGTTGGATTTTCCAAAGTATTTTTGTTTTCATTATAGACAGACACTGTTTCAGGATCACAAGATGCCATGGTGACGGTATAGCAAGACCCTGCTCTAAACACACTTTGGCTTCTAGTTTTGCCTTGTCGACGTTTCAGTGTTGTATGAACATCAAAAAAGAGAGAGTTTAATTCATGCTCTCGAAGAAGTCCAGAAAAGCTAGTAAGAAATGGAATTCCAAAGTCACTGTACTTCATCAGGTCTCTCTCAAGAATATAACTCAAAAAGAGTTCTAAAAAAATAACGTATTCGTCATCATCACGTTCAAATTCCCATGCACCAACTATAGGCAAATTATATTGATTATGCATGTCTTTTCCACATAATTTGTCTTTATGTTTTGTTTTCCAGTTAAGAGCTTTTATCTTGCATGTGGCATTTTTGCTACCTATTTCTCCTTGTCTCTGATGTTCATTATCCCTGTAAGACAACAAATGTAAGTAATGTTAAATCCATTTTAAGAATTACATGGAAAAGTAAGTAAATGCAACATTAGTTCCCTTTCTTCTTCTATTGTTAAAAACAGGAAACTAACAAAACCATATTTACATTAATACAATGTTGATGTGGTGAATTAATCAAATACAAAATCCGTAGTTTTTACATAGACAGCAACTCAGCAGTATCATATATGAACTTGGTCATAGCTGATAATAATTCGCACTTCAAGAACATATTAGTCATATAGTAACTGATACAATGTTGGCAGTTCTAAGATTTGGTAAATTTGTAATTCTTCATTTGATAAATCACCCAAAGTGACAATTATCCTGTTTGGTGAAAAGATTACTTGAACGGTAAGAGACAACTTTTTTTTTTTCTTTTTTTTTTTTAAATAGAAAGCCTTCTGCTGCAATTTTTTCCATACCTTTGGAGTGAACGTGTTGGAGCACTCGTTCCTTCAGTAAGCAAAGCATCAGAAAGCGTATCTGCTGTGTCAGCATCACTGTATACCTGAGGATTCCCAAGATCAGTAAGTGTGCTTCTGCTTAAACTAGTGCCTAATGAGAATCTGTCGTAACAGTGTTCCTCATCATCTGCTGCTCCCTCTTCTGCCTGGTCCCAAATATTAACTTCTATGGGGCCTATGTTCCTTATTACACGTCTCAAGGCCTTCATTCTCACTCTTTCAGTAGCTTGTATAACAATTGACATCATTTCTTCACTTTCAGGATCTACCCAAAGAAAGAAAACCAAGTGATTTTAAATGCAAACTTCTCAGTTTTCACTTATTCTCTTGAACTGAGACACGAATGAACTCTGAATCATTGTAAATTGCAGCCATTTAGAAATACAGACAGAAACTGCGATAAAGTGAAGAAACACCATCAACTTAGAAGTCACTCCATTCTGTTACTGGTATAGGAATATCAGAAAGAAACTAAGAATTTGCCACAAAACTCTCTCAAAGTTGTCTAACTGAAAACTATAATAATCGTTTTACATGGGGTATGAAAGAAGGTATTGTCACATGTTAATTAATAAGTAGGGTAAAAAAAGTTCATTTAATATTTCCTGAAGAACAACACATGCTACCTTTAACAATACTGTGTCTGAGTCGCTGCTGAAGACCATGGTATTTATCTCTTAGTGGAACTCTTATATCTTCAGGATTAGGAAATGCTTTTACAAAAATCTCTGCCACCTGCAGAAAATAGAGTATCTTTTCAAATAGCTAACACACAAGTAAGGTATAGTTTCCAACAGAACCTACCCCACAGGAAAGTCTAACCAGTAGCATTTACAAGGAGAATAAACATTTGCGATAATCTCTATTGCTGCTGTTCTAGCTTTAATGTCTTTTACCTTTTTCAATGGTGGCAATTCTCCAAGCAGACTTAAAATTACATCTTGAACTAATTCTTCAACATTCATGAACCTGCAGAAAGGAAGCATTCGACAAGCCCACTCCAATGCATTCAGACAATGCTCAACTGTGGAGGCATCATATTCATTCTTCTTCAGATCCTAAAAAAAATCCACCTTGCTATAGAAACATTGGTATGAACAATATATTTCTGCTAAATTATTCATAGACTGCAAATTGTATTGATACTTCCCTAGCCAACAAAAAATAAAACCAGCTAACTTGACAGCAAGCAGAGAAGTATATGATGCTAGGAGACAGATCAAGGTTGTAATGGATGATAACTTATATCAAGAAAAAAAAAAAGAAAGAAAAAAGGGCTTTTCTTTACACCAGCTTAGGAAATAATTCCATTAACACTGCTGAAGAGTCTGTTTGCAGTCATTTAGAGTAAACATTAAGGAGTTGATTAAACTAGCCATAACTGATTAAATATACTGAATTACCAGATGAAGTAAATAATTTTACTGTGACTTAAAGTGATCATAAATTCTTTCTTGGGAGTGAGATATTTAAGCCAGGCAACAGGATTTTAAGATGGATCGGTTTATTTTTAAACAGTTAGTGGTTCCCATCTCATTTGTCATTGTTGAACAAAGCATAGAAATATCAGAATATTCTACTGTTTGAAACAGAACCATCCTGTTCATTTGAACCTTGATTCTTTTGGTGAAGAGAAATTTGGACTTGTTTTAAAAAGGGCACAACCTTTGGTAAGGACAGCGGAGTTGCTAGACTAGACAGGACAAAAATCAACATCTGTATTGTTACAGAATATATGACAAATATTATAATGCCAGTAGTTTCTTTCTGTTTTTTCCTTGACCTCTAACATCAATTGATGAGGGTATAAGTAGAGAAAACATGATTAAGTTTTAATACTTTTCATTACTTTTTTTGAAAACCAATGTATATTTAATGCACCAAACCCCACTTTTGGTGTGTTAAATACACATTGGTCAGGAAACACACAAAATAACTTAATCTAAATAAAATAAAGAGTAGTAAATACTTTATCTAAACAGCAAGTGTAGAAACTATTGATGAGATACTGCCAGAAGAGCAATTATCTGAGTTAAATACCAAAAGCCCAACAGAAATACTATTAGAAAGACGTAGTTCACATGGACAGCACTATTCTGTAGCACCAAATACTGCACATCATAGCTCTACGCTAATTTTGTCCTACTAAGCAAGTAAGAGTTCTCACAGAAATATACAGCAGATCTTTAGAATTCTTCTTACAGCTTTATGCAATTTAAATGTATCTTTCCTACATTAGTAATATAATCACCTTCTGATTGTTCATATTTTCCCTTGCAGTTTGGTACCGCCTACAGTTGTCAGATAATCTTTCACGAACGTGAAACATCCAACACAATGCACATAGCTCTCTGAACCAACCTACAACATAAACATGCAATATGGTGAGATTCTATCTAAATAAATGAAATAGTTTGAGATTTTTAACTAGAAGGAATAAGCATTATCTTAACAGTAGTTAAAGAAAACAAATCACTAGTTCTTAAGTTTTCAGTAGTGCTCTGCAGCTAGAGCTCTTTAGTCCCACTTAGTGTTCATGTTCTTTCACATCTGTCAGATCTGTAACACCGACAACAGTCCAGAGCAGCAACTTTCAGATTAAGAGTTTTGATAACCAACATAAAAGCTGGAAAGGGAATGTGTTTCTGCACATATTGCAGTATACTATTTCAAGCTAATAAGAATACTTTGCACCCGTGGATTCTCACTTGTGTTCTTTTTTCCAGCCCTAAATTATTCTATTCTATTACATACAGACCTAAAATTTTACAGGTAATATCATCAAACTGATGGTCTCCAGAAGATGTAGGTCTACAGAAAATAGTGCGGAAATTGGAGTAACGAAGCAAAGTCTCTGGGAACGGACTCAGTGAAGGAAGAGAACCTTTCATTCGAATCTATAGATAGTAAAAATAAATAAATAAATACATGATCAAGTATTTAAATATAATTTGCCAATTTATACATGTATCAACAAATTTTGTTTACATGTCAAAATGGAAATAAACATCAGTTAAGGTTTTGTATGTATCACTACAATCGTACGGTCTCTCAGTTATTAGCAGAATACTGCCAAGATAAGTAAAATTCCCTTAAGCTTGTTTTCCATTTTCTTCAAATCAGTATTCTGAAAATTCAATTAAAATAATACGTTTAGTATGAGCTATGGCATGAAAAATGCTTTTATTTGCATGGTACTCATGATACTCATGATTACCATGATATACAAGAGCAACAAAGCATAAGAAGAAATAAGATCACAATTAAGAAACCGGTTTAATCCAGCACCGTCCAGGCCGCTGTCAACCAAGGCAGACTAGTTTTCCCTCCTGTTTCAGTTGCTACTTCTGATCACCTCCCCATGCCAGCATTCAGCATTAAGTGTGACCATGCGATGAGCAAAAGGAAGGAAATATTTGTCAGTCAGACCAGTCGCAGATCTGGATCACCGCACAAATGCTGGTGCAGGGGGACTGACAGAAGGCAGACAGGCACACACACCCCCTTCTGTAGCAAGTCAACCTTCTGTAAGTGGCTCTGTAACACTGACCTAAGAAAAGCCTGAGGTTACATGAAAGCTTTTTATCAATATATTCTGAGCTTGGTTCTGTGCAAACAAAATACATGAGTAGAATGCGATCTTGTAAGCCCTGTGCTCTGTGCACTAAGATGACCACTTTACCTGAAGTGAGCATCACGTTCTCTGTTGCATGTTCAACTGTAAGTGATGAGAACACATGTCCAGTTAGCAGCTATAACTCCCAATTAAAATCAGCTTGTTTCTTTCAAATGGAGGAGAAAGAACTGAGGTTGTACATTACCAAGTAGGTACAGAAAGACATGCAGAAGGAGACACTTCTATGAAGTAGATACCCTGTATCCTTAAGTTCTGGTTTTCCAGAAAAACTGAACACGGAATGTAAAACTAGAAGACAACATGTAAAACTACGACATCATCGAAGGCCGGATGAGACTGAATGCTTCTGCAATGCAACTGCAAGCTTCTCAGTAATATACGCTACTGATAACCAAGTTAAAAAAAAACAAGTTAAATGCTTACTTTTTGCATAACTTTTCTTGCCCACTTCAGTTGTGCAATATACCACTGTGCTGCAGGGCAGGAACAATGAGCAGCCCGGAAGAGCAAGATAATTCGCTGAAGGACTCCTGACACTTTCCGACGGCTTTCTCTCTCAATTTTTAAAAGAATGTCATTGCAGTCTTCCTGAAAAATGCAAATTCAAAGAGAAAAACATGCCTGAAAATTAGAAAGGACATACACAATAAGGAATCTGACCTAAACGTTGTTTCTGCTCCTCTACACAGAGGCACACATACTTTCTTATCACTATGGCGCTACTTAAGTAAATGAATGGATGTCGTGGTTTAGCCCCAGCCAGCAACTAAGCACC